AGTTTCATCACCTGAATTAGTCATGATGGGAGTTAATGTGTGTTGGTTGAGTGGGTGGAAAATCAGGATCAGTAGAGATTTAAGACTCCTTCTCTGATACCATAACAAAAAGAAAAGAGAAGGACTGGTGGCCAAGACAATGAACCAGTAAAGATTGAATGTTATTTCCTTCTGTTCTCCACTTTAAATATATAAGGTAAGAGCTCTACATATCTATAAAAATCTGATTCAGAAAATCAGAGATGAATACAGACTAAACATAACAGCTATATGACTAATAACACAGCTACTTTCTTTCATTCCAATGCATTCCCTTTTTAGCAAAACAGCCACTCTATTTTTTCACTTGTAGAGCTGCTTCTTGCTTTGTAAAAAAGGTCAACAAATAATTACAAAAATTTGCAGGCGATTTTTCTTGTTCCAGTGATCTATGTTTTCTGCCATATTTAATTCAAATATCTATCTCATTATGGTATCAGAGCAAATGAAACAAGGGAACTAACCAACTTGCCTCCAGGGAAGAAACCAATCGGTTGCAAATGGGTCTATAAGACCAAATATAAGGCAGATGGTAGTATTGAACGACACAAGGCTAGATTGGTGGCGAAGGGCTACACTCAACGAGAAGGAGAAGATTATTTTGAAACATTCTCCTCTGTTGCCAAGATGCCAACAGTGGGATGCCTTCTGTCCATTGCTGCATGTAAAAACTGGTCGCTCCATCATCTTGATGTTAATAATGCTTTCCTTTATGGAGATTTGGATGATGAAGTATATATGAGTGTGCCCCGGGATATGGAAGAGAGGGGGAGCAACGAAGATGTAGGCTTAAGAGGTCTCTTTATGGCTTAAAGCAAGCCTCTCGTCAATGGAATCAAAAATTCACATCTGTTATCACCAAGATTGGTTTTATCCAATCTAAAGCAGATTATTCACTCTTTACCAAGAAAACTGATTCCTCTTTTATCGTAATGCTTGTATACGTTGATGATATGGTGATTGCAGGAGACAATGAAGTAGAAATACAGAAACTAAAGCAATATTTGGCAAACCATTTTAAGCTAAAGGACCTTGGAAAGTTGAAATATTTCCTAGGCATAGAAGTTGCCCGATCCAAGAAAGGGATTTTCATTTGCCAAAGGAAATATGCGCTGGAAATTCTACAAGACGGTGGACTTCTTGGTGCTAAATCTGTCCAATTTCCCATGGAGCAAAATTTGAAACTGATTAGTGAAGAAGAACAAGCCTTGGCTGATCCTAAACAGTATGGAAAACTAATAGGAAGGCTACTCTATCTAACAATAACTAGGCCTGATATATCATACTTGGTACAGGCCCTAAGTCAATATCTTAGTTAGCCGAAAGATGTGCATTGGAAGGCAGCATTAAGGGAAGTAAGATATTTGAAGACATCCCCATCACAAGGGTTGATTTATCCAGCAAAAAGTAAGCTGCAGCTGACTGCCTTTTGTGATGCAGATTGGGGCACTTGTCCGGAAACTAGAAGGTCCATTACCGGGTTTTGCATTTTCTTTGGAGATGGTTTAATATCGTGGAGGTCGAAGAAACAAAGGACTGTGTCTAGGTCCTCTGCTGAGGCAAAATATCGATCAATGGCTGCAACAACTTGCGAGTTGGTGTGGTTTAAAAGTTTGTTAAATGATTTTGGCATATCTGTTGAAAAATCGATACAATTATTCTGTGATAATCAAGCAGCTGTTCATATTGCTTCAAATCCAATTTACCATGAGAGAACAAAACACATAGAAATCGATTGTCACATTGTGAGGGAGAAAATACAGGTCGGTTTGATAAAGACGTTTCACATATCAACAAACTTACAAGTTGTAGATGTAATGACGAAGGCAATTGGTTCAAAGAAATTCCAATATCTCTTAGGCAAGATGGGGATTTATTCAATTGCATCTCCATCTTGAGGGGGAGTAATGAGATAGATATTTGAATTAAATATGGCAGAAAACACAGATCACTGGAACAAGAAAAATTGCCTACAAGTTTTGTAATTATTTGTTGACTTTTTTTTACAAAGCAAGAAGCAGCTCTACAAGTGAAGAAATAGAGTGACTGTTTTGCCAAAAAGGGAATGCATTGGAATGAAAGAAAGTAGCTGTGTTATTTGTCCTATAGCTGTTATGTTTAGTCTGTATTCATCTCTAATTTTTTGAATCAGATTTTTATAGATATGTAGAGCTCTTACCTTGTATATTTAAAGTGGAGAACAGAAGGAAATAACATTCAATCTTTACTGGTTCATTGTCGTGGCCACCAATCCTTCTCTCTTCTTTTTGTTACTTACCAATGGATCTCTTTGTCATTCTAATCCGTGGAGAGGGTAAGTGAGTAATGTCTAGAGTTCCGAATATTTTTGCCTTAACATGGTGGTGGATTTCTCTTCCATTTTGCTTTGCTTTTATTTTTGAAGATGTGTGTGTCAAGCCTCACTACAAGTAGATGATGAGGGTGTGATAATATTGTTGAAACGTCCCGATACACTTTCTAATGCCTGATAACAACTTCATATAAAAAAAAGTAATAAGCAAAAAGAGGACAACATGAATACTCCATTTTGTTCCATAAAGTTCAAATAATTTTACAAAGATCTTTCCTTCAAAAAACATACAAGGATCCTCAAGCACAAAAGAATCACTTTCTTAAAAGTTGAACCCCAACCTTGAGAGCCCCCATCGTCTCGTTCCTAGAGCTTTGTGAGGGAGATAAATCGCGGGATGTGCTCCAAAAGAATCACTTTCTTCCTTCATCTACTGATAGAGAAGTTTAAGAGCCTGTTTGGGAGTGATTTTCTCTCCCAAAAAATTAATTTTTTGATCGTTATTTCACTATTTCAGTCGTTCTATTTGACTTTTCCTTTCACAGGTGGACCTCATTTTTCTTCTAACGATCAAAAAATTAATTTTCAAAATCACTCTCAATCAGACTCTAAAGTTAATTGAAAGGTGAAGTAGAGAGAGAGAGAGAGAGAGAGAGAGAGAGTTGAAAAATAAGAAGAAAAAAATAAAAAGAAAAGACGAGTAAACAAGAGAAAGATACTGTCGTCCAAGTCGTCTTTCCAAGATTCTCATTAATTTATACATATATTCACTTGTCCATTTGCAAAAACTTTTCCTCTTTTTTCTTCCAAATCCAACAGTCATTGACTCATTTCCCACTGAAGTTACATTCAATTCAAATTCCCTTTTACTGCCTCTCGTGTACCAAGAAGACCTGTCAGTGGCTTAAAGCTAAGGATAAAGCCTTTTTATTTCGTGCTTGTTTGGCCTTTTTAAAATGTTAAATTATTTGTTAGAGTATCATTTTTTATCACATATTTATATAATAAAATATTCTCCATATAAAATTATAAAGTTTTTTTATTTTTTAATTATATATTCTCCAAAAAATACTATTCAAAATTCTTTAGCCCCCATTCGTCATCCATTTTTTGAAATGAAAATTGGTGGAATAGTTTTTATTGAAAAATAGTGAGAAATTTTCGATTTATGTGTAATGTTATTTGATAGGAGATTATGTAATTGAAAATAAAAGAGAGAAATGAAATTGAAATTAGTGGAGGCCAAACACGCTTAATTTTCCAAATAATGAGTCACAAACAAGGCTTTCATTTTATGCAACTTATATGAATGTTCTCTATTCAAATCTTGCAGAAGAACTTGACGGAGGAGAGGACATTCAGGGTAAAATATGTTCTTACTGTTGGTGTATGGCATTTTTATTTTTTCCCATTTTTCCCTTCATGGATTTTTCTTATAGAATTCTCTCTTCTTTTTTCCATGGAGAAGTGTATTATCACTGTACTATTATTATTTTTTTCTGATGCAAAAGGAAAATTTTTGAAACATAAAAAACAAATCTTACTATTTCTTGATTTTCATATGTATCCTGTAAATTAGTTTGATGTCTTTAATTATGATTTTATTTATTTAATCTTTTCCATCTTTGTTCAAAGCCTTGGATTAATGCTTATATCCACTGTTTCTGTAAGGATGTCAATGCATATTCTGTGTCATTTTCTGGTATTTACCTATTTTTTATTATTTTTTTGCATCTTTTCAAGTAAATGACCCTTTCTTAATTAATTGTTCAATTCTTGATTAGTGGAACAAAGTGCACGTTAATGTTAGTGAAAAGTAGATATGTAAATTTTTAAATCCCGCAGATTTACCCCCAAGCTATGCACACCTTTTAATATTATTGATTGGTGCTGCAATAAGTGAACTGAAATTTACTTTTTCTCAAGAAAACATGGTTTTTTCATTTTCTTACTGTTATTTTCTCGCAAAAGATGGAACACTCTAGATTATATGGCTTAGGAATTGGCACGACTATTTGCACTTCATTTTGTTTTCTGAGATTGGTGAAACTGAAAAAATACCCTAAATTGGCAGCATTAGAAGTACATTTGAGTCAATTTTCAGAATATGAGTTGCATTGAGTCGATATTCGGAAGGAATGTTAGCTAATGATTAATGAACCAGCTTTTGTGCTGGCTGGGTATCATAGGAATTTTCACAACACTGTGTTGCAGCATCTCTTTATATTTGCTTGAATGTTGTTGAGATATTTTGGAAATTTATGGCGCCTCTATTATCAATGTAACTTCAAAATGTGCCGTGTAACTACCAATTTTGATGCATTATTGCTGTTAAATATCTTATATACATGCTCTACTCCCTGATATGTTGTATTACTGATGTAAGATACCAAGAGTTGTCTTGATGATATTGTATTTTAGGTAAAAAATAACACATTTATAGAAGAATTTGTCCCTTTGAAAACGCCTGTTCTTGATTTGTTATTCTGTGTTTTCCTACACTAGGAGTTTTCTTTGTGTTTATGTTTTGCAGATTAAGAGCCTGTTTAGTTATGGGGGAAATTAAAGAGCTTTGAATAGTATATAGTTTTTGGAGAATGTGTTATTAATATTTAAAGAAATTTTATTGGTTTGTGTGTAGAATATTTTATTGTGTGAATATTGGTGGAAAATATTATTGTAGCAAATAATTTAATTTGTTAGAGGATGACAAACAGGGGCTAAAGGTTGAGTAGCTTCAATCTTTGTCAGTTTTTACATCAAGTAGGTTATCTATAAGTCGATCAAATGCCAAGATCAAGGTAGCCTTATAGTCTGGAATGCTTTCTTGTGCATTATCGCATGTTATTTCATTTGTTTTGATCAATTCATATTTCTTGGAACAGAGGAACAGTCGAACAGAAATGCCTCAAAGGCAATCTCCTCGAGCAACACTTAATCTGAGGACATCTAGCTCTGACTCTGACCCACCACATCATCGTTCAGTTGATAGGAGCACAAGACTATTAGATGTTCGATCCCCATGAGGTGCTCATTCTGATCCGATGAACCAAAAGAAACTTGGAACTCGCATTGCTGATTTTGAATTTCAGCTTGGCCAAGCACAGGACGAGCTTAAAAACCAGAAAGACCAATTAGCTTCAACTGAGGCTGCAAAGAAAGCTGCTCAAGATAAACTTGAGAATAAATCAAAGAAACAGCAAATGGTCACTGAGCCAGTGGAAATCCAAGAAAAAACCTCCACCCCGGTTCAAGAACAACTCGAAAAGAAATCAAAGAAACAGCAAATGGTTCTCGAGCCAGTTGAAATCCAAGAAAAACCCTCCATGCCAACTGAAAATATAGCATCAAACAAAAGGCACGGTGCTGTTGCTGTTGTAGTGACCGAGGAAAACAAGCAGGAAACTGATGTCTTTGAAGTTCTGGTTAAGCAAGCAATTGTTGAATCCAAGTCTGAACTGAGCCTACCTGCTGATCTAGATGAACTCAAACTGAAAGCTGTCAGCTTATCAACCGTATCAAAACCATGACAGAGCCAGAAAATCTGCCATTTGATGAAGTGGCACTGAAGAACGATGAGATAAATATGTTAAAGGCCAAACTAGAGGAGAAGGAAAAAGAACTAGAAGTTTCTCGCCTTGAAAATGAAGGTTTAAAAATTGAGATAAATGAGAAGTTGTTGGAACTTTCCTCGGTTCAATCCAAGGAAGAGGAAATGACTTTCAGATTGAATCAAACTGAACAAGAGCTTGTAAAGAGCAAAAGCAATGTTCTCCGGTTAAATGAGAAGCAAGAAGCTACCGAAAGAGTGAAGCAGGAATTAGAAGCTGAAATGAAGAAGCTTCATATGCACACCGAGCAATGGAGAAAAGCAGCTGATGCTGCAGCATCAGTTCTAGCCAGTGGTGTCGAAATGAATGGCAGAAGGCTATCTGAGAGGTGTGGATCAATGGACAAACACTATGGCAATGCGTTTGAACCTGTTGGCAGATATGCAGATTCTATGGGTTCACCAGGGCTAATGGATGACCCTGACGATGTTTTTGGGAGCGGTAAGAGGAAAGGTTCTGGCATTAGAATGTTTGGAGACCTTTGGAAAAAGAAGGGCCATAAATAGAAATCTGAAACAGGATTTTATTTGATTTTTTGTCTAGGTAAAAAAATGGTTGCTTACCATTTTGTTTTTGTTTGTAATTGTTGTAATACTTCCAGTATCTCGGCTTCATTAGTATTTTGATGTTGACGACTCGAAGCCATTCAGTTTATGTACTTGTAAAATGTCGAATTTTTAGTCTTTTACTGCACCGTTCATACTTCTTGCCGAGGATGAACCGTACTATCTCCATCCAGAACAACATTACCCCCTTTCCATAGGAATAGGTTTAAATACTTTAAACCATTACATTGATAACCTAATCGTGCTCTCCCATTCCATTATACATTTTTGTGTTGTGATTGCGTTATGAATTACAAATTCACCTTCCGATCTAATATTTAAAAAATCACTACCTTTCTATTTGCTGCTAAAAACAGACTCTGAAAGAGGTTTAAGAGAAGCACAAACGAGAAGAAAGCACTTTATTGATGCTACTGATTGAGAAGCAAGAAGGGGCCCCGATTAAAAAATTGAGTCTTGTTTCTTGGTGTGGATCAAATAGTCAAGTCGCTCTTGGTGGTGCATCCCATAGTAAGTTCTTTGGGAAACAAAGTGGCAAGCTCTTTCGTACCAACTTGTAGGTCGAATGATGCAACAATATTGTTTACCAACATGAGTAGCTCTTGTATCATGCATTCATATCTGAACTTTGGCTAGCAAGCCACTGTAAGAGGGAAAAATGAACGAAAGCACACCGTTCTTGAAGGTTGCCCAGAATTGGACTAAAAACTTATTTACTTCATATCAGCATTAATAATGGCAAGAAATTGAAACTTAAAAGTCAAAAGTTGTTAATGAGGCTAAGAAGTTGCTTTTGAACATGAGATGAATAATTTTTTAGAAGTGCTTTGTCTAATTAGAAGAACTTTTAGAAGAATAAATAACTAAGAAAACTTTTTGACAAGTAGCAGCAGCAAAAGCAGAAGCCCTACCAGACAGCCCTCAAACAGGATACATTTTTTGGAGGCTGCTTTATTGTTTCAGGTTCTTCCCTTAGTTCCATACATAAAAATGCCTATTCTCAAGTACTAGATTCATTTATAATGTATTTTTTTAAATAAATAATACAGAAAGAGCTGAGAGAAGAAAGTTTCCTAGTAATCTTCTTTAAACTCCCTGAAGGTTTAAAAAATTTTCCTAGCATCAAATCTCATTTCAATGGAGCCAATCTTCATGTGCCACCAACGAATTTATTTACGTTCGAAAAGGATTTCTTCTACTTGCTATTGCTTGTATCAACAAGTTAGACGAACTTACGGGCTTATCAGCAGAAAAATATTCGATATGTTTTACAACCTAGGCAATGAGAAGGTCAAGACAAAATGCAAACCTTTGTATTCGATGTCCAAATAAGATGAACCGATATTTGACATTAGAAAGTCCAAACCCTTTCAACTGAATTATCAAAATCATAAGCTTGCTAGTCATTTCTTTGGTACTTTCGTGGGATCTTCATTATATATTCTAGGATAAAGCTTTCTACTGGATGTTCCTTTCCTCCCCAGCCTGTCTACTGATTGGATAGCTTATGTTATTACTACATGAAGTACTACAGTAGACAATTTTCATGAGGGATTGCATCGGTCGAAAAGTTATTCCCTCATCGACCAGCTAATGGTCTGGTCTCCGGGTATGGAATAGATAATCTTAGCCATTTTCGTAGCATAGCTTATTTCATTTGTACACCAACTTGGAGATGTCACAAAGCATCATTTTCCATACTGTTTTCCCACAATGTACGAAATTTTCAAAGGCATGCCGTTCTATAACAATGTGAATTACATAATGAATTTACATGGTATCAGTCCATTAATGGAAGAACACTGGGATGTAAACAACGAGCATTTCTAGGAGAGTGTATCGTTGATTCGGGTCCTTTTCACAAAAGAATTTATTCTTAACTGTGAAATACGTACAAAGTAATGCTATTCATCCCCACCGGTACTTAACACTAGTCTAAATGAAAATTAGGTGATATTAAATGATAGATTTATTTAAATGCAAAGTTAAATGATTCATTTAATTAAACCTATCAATTGTAGCCATTCAGACTAGCGCTACAGCACCATTGGAGCTAAATAGTATTATTCATGCATTTATGAGCTATTTTGCTCAATTAAAAAATGTATAAAGAGTCGTAGGAAAAGTAATTCCAAGAGGTCGTCTTTGCTATAAGCACCATCGAGGATTTAGAAACAGCCGTAATTTTCAAGAGTAAACTCACTATTTCTGTTTCACATTCATAAATCTTGAAGCTCTCATGGAAGTGAAACAATGTGATATATGATATTTCTCGAACGCTCTTAACTACCTAACAAAACATTGATGAAATCGTGAACACGTGACGTTTAAGGAATTTTTCGTTAAGAATTCAAGTGATAACTTCAAATTACGCATGGATATGTTTTCCTGTTCATTCCTCGTCCCCAACCCAGAGCAAGGGATATCTCCGTGGCTCCATCCCAGCCCAAAATCCGGTGACCCGTCAAACCGAGGACTTATTATTACTTGAGGACATGAAGCTAATTATTAGGTGACAAGTAGTATCGACTATCGATATGTCAAGAATTACTCATGTGTATGTTACAATGTGACGAGATGGTTATACTCTCTAGAAGTCTCTTCTTTCTACCGGGAGAATACTTTTTTTGAGTTTGGAGACTTTTGAGACCAAATTGAGAGTTAAGATTAGTTTGTAATGAATATCGGCTCATATGAGCAAATTTTTTTAATTTTTATTTTTTTTTCATAATATTTATCGTTGTAAAAATTCTTTTTTATTTTCAAACAATAGGCTATTAATGGTGTAAAACTTGTGTTATAATAGGAGGAAGAAAGACAAAGAAAGTAAAAGAAAATGCAAACTTTACCATCTTTGGAAAAGCTCAATCAACTATTAAAAACACCTATAAATGAGTATTTTGATATCTCATTTTCTCAACATGATAGGTCTATATCAAACTATTATGAGGCTGCAATTTTCTCGAATAGGCCCAACCTATTATCGGCCAATCTCAACTTGTACGCAGATTTTTTATACTCGTACCATGTAAACTCCTTGTACAAACTATCTTCTCCTTTCATCAACGAAGGCAATGGAGCAATTTTTTCACTCAAAGGCGGTCCCCCAAAATAAATCATCGAAAGCCTCGATTTTGAGCCGTTCGCCATGACTCTGTGCCTTACGCTCTTAAACCTCCCATTCGTCATAACCTGTCAAAATCATACACAAACACGAGATCTTAGTGTAAATAATATCCATCGCAAACCATGGAAAGAAAGGAATATCAACGTGACTTATTAGGTGATAGAGTGTAGGGACAATGAAAACCCTTGTGTTGAAGGAATCTATTGAGATTCATTTAATCATTTCTCGACCAATAGGGGTCCATCAAAAATGAAACGCGCAAAATAATTTATAAAGCTAATAAATTACACACCAATCAATGTGAAATTTGCGTGGAAAAAATATATTCATTAGATGCTGACACATTTCGGATATATGCACATCAATGTATTAATTGTGGGGGCTAAACTACCCTTTAGGGTGGTCATTGTACCTGTAACGAGTCACCAACATTAATGAAAAACGAACTTTGATCTGGTGGAATGGATATCCAATTTCCATCTTTCAACGAGATTTGAAGGCCAGATATGTTGTTTGATCTCAAAACGGAAATGATTTGAGGATCGGTGTGTTCTCCAAATCCAATCAAATTCCTGTCATTCATTTCTTGATGAAGCTCTGGGCATGGAGGGTAATGATTGAGCCTAAAAACAGAGTCACTCTCTTCATCCATCAAAAGTTTACTGAAAACATTCCTTGGTTGAATCTTCAATCCATCAGCAAGCATTTCAAGAATCTCATAAGCTATTTTCTTGACTGCTGACACATAATCGTTCACTGCGCAACTGTGATAAATACAACAAAAATCTAATAAGTGAAGAACATGAAGAGCGTATTTAACGAGTTTTTGCTGGACTCTTTTTTATAACATACCGGAATTTCTCTGCAGCTTCGCCAAAGATGGATGAAAACTTCTGGTAATTTGCTTCATTACTCGTAGTTAATAGTATGTATTCGACCCAACCCACATCGCCATTGTGGCCAATTTTCTTGTTTCCATAGCCAAAAGGGTCAAGAGGGCCTGCCTTTTCTTTCTCAGAGAGTGGCAGGGAGAAAAACTTAATGGCTTCTGACTCTAATTTGGCAATGAATTCGGTTGGGATGCCGTGATTGATTAGTTTGAAGAATCCGAATTCTTCGCAGGCCTTAACGATGAGATTTTTAGAGTCGGGTTTCGATAGATCGATTAAGGGGACTTCAGTGAACAATGTGGTGGCTACAGAGAGTTGCTCCATTGCTGGTTTAGATAAGACCACCATTGGTAACATTATAGAGGAAGTATAGAAATGAGCTAGATTTGTGTGACCTTTTTTATATACTAACATCTGGCTTCAAAAAACTGGTTGCCTATATTTATAGCATTCTTAGAGAGAGAATATGTGTGACTTTTAGAGAGATAAGAGTGTGAACAAGATTAACAATCATGGTTGACTAAAAATATTTACAGTCAATAAGCAAATTAAGTCCAAAGCTGACTTGGTTGTGATGCAAATCTTAATCTTAAAAGACAAAGTGCATTAACGCAAGGACAATTAGTCCTTTCTTCTTAATCCAAAAAAATAATGTGTATAATTTTAAGTATTTTCAATTGCAAACGTGTGACGTGTTGAAAAAAGCTGAACGACTTGCAAGTAAATGAGCACGTTATGGACATGCTTGTATCTTCACTACACATCTATGATGATACGAGATACACATTAGTACTTTTTTGTTTACGCACTCGTGCGTACATATATTTGACTCATGCACTATTATGACATTGTTTAGAAGACATGGATTAGATGAGCCAAATTGTTCTTCTCAATTTGACCAAATTAGTTTAGCTTAAGACTATTGATCTAAATCATCAATTACATAGCATTCTTAGCTAGTAAGCATCAGAGGAGGGGACTCCATTACATTGGGACCAACAAACCTCCTTAAATTGTCAAGTAATTAAAAGGAGATTTTTCTTTTTCAAACTAAATTACACATGAAGATGCAACCCACCTTCCCAAATCTCTAGAAACAT